TATTTTGGGAAATACACATCCTTGCTTTCTTGTCAAGAGTTAGATGAGAAGACTGATCCCATATTCATGTCTGGCTATGAATGAGGCTACAGCCAGCAGAATGTTAGCTTAGCATAAACACTGGAAGCACAACACAACTAGCTAGGCTTACTCCAAAGTTTAAAAAAAGCCATCTCTACAACTCACTACTTTGTTTGATCTGTACAACCAAACCAAAGTATAAAAACAACAAATTGTGGTTTTACGCTGGACAAGTTCTTGGGTGGGATATAAAGTCTTTGTGAGGATATGATTTTGCCTGTGTCCAGTCTTTGTGCTAAGCCAAGCTAACCAGCTGTTTGCCTCTAGTTTCATATTTTGCAAGCAGCCTAGCAAACAGACAACCTTTATTTTGCTTTGTGCTGTGTCTGATTTTACTGTGCAGTTTGCATCTGTGTTGAGAGGACCAGCATCCACAAAGAACTGCCATAAGAGATGTTTTACTCCCACTAAAATTCATGATATGAACAAAATCAGGTGTGGCAAGATGCATGTGTATATATTTTCTGTATGTGTCCTGTATATAATGCTAAAGGGTAGTTACTGATGGGATGTTAACCTATAGGGTGGTGGAGGGGGAAGCAGCCCAGACTGCAAAAACAGCACAACATTATATGTTAGCAGCTTGAATATCTGAGAGGAAAACCTGCAACAAACCCCAGTGAAATCACTGAATAATAAGTGACCCATGTGTATACATACTATAGACATGTAGACACTAATGCGTGGGAATGATTGAAGCAGAATGTGAAAAAGATGGTTTCTGAAGAAGCTTCATGTTTGAATGATAATGGATGACACTGACATTTTGGCAACAAGAGAAAAAACAATTGCAAATTCTGAATACCTTTAAGCCTGTTGTAGAAAACAGCTGACAAAGATCTGCAGCAACTGCCCTTAGTTCTTTTACAGGTAGGATTTGACACAGATGCACGTTGCGGTGTTATATCATCACATTCACTTCTGATGGAAGTGCTCTGACCTGATTGAAGAAATGATGAAGATTGAGAAAATAAAAACACAAATGGATGAATTGAATGAACATTTCAAAGAAAATAACAGAAACCAGCACTGCAGACTGTCCGCCACTGGAGTGCAGTGCTTCCCCAGAACAGCTCTGTACAGCTCATTAAATACTGAGAGAGAGAGAGAGAGAGAGAGAGAGAGAGAGAGAGAGAGAGAGAGAGAACAGGGGGAAAGACATAGAAGCTGTTTTCTTCAGGGGCCTCACTGAGCAGTTTCAAATGGCTACAATCAGTGCTGACATGGTGTCTTCCTGCTCTGGTTTCAGGCAGCTAAAACATCCAGGTCACACATGGTCAGAGGTTTGGTGGATGACGATTCAGCAAAGAGCAACTCGATGCTTCTGGAAACATTATATTTATATAAACAGGAAAAGCTTTGAACAAACAGATTTGTTAGAGCAGGGCACATGAGGACAAATCATTTCAAACGCAGCCACTTCTTACCTCAGCTACGGTGTTCAAACTGATCCCAGTGTCTTCACACTATAAATGTAAAGCAGGGTTCCTTGGAATTTCCAGCGAGTTAGTAAACGTCTTGTGACTTCCTGTGAAACCCAGTGCGTCAGACCTCAGCTGTGTGTGCTAACTGACCAGGCATTCATGCCTCTGCTGCTGTGGACTTGAGTCACATCCAAAACAACGGGCTGCGGGCTATGCCAGCTGCTGAGGGCGACAGGGTGTGGAGGCGAGTGGACGGAAAAAACAAAACACTTGTAACACTTGAAAAACGATGACGGCACATGCAAATAACAGGATGATACAAAATGAAAACCAGCAGCAGCAGCTAATTATTTTTCATGACTTTTACCTTAAATTCTTCCTCAGCATTTGGTTTGTCAGACAATATGAAGTGTAAAAGTTTTCATTTTCCTGTCTACCTTTATGACTTTTTAGGACTTGATCACTTTGGGCGCTGATAACTTGCATAATTATTTCTATTCTTAATTGATAGACAAAACGGTTCATTTAAAAAACATGACTAAATAGAAAAAGGCCTTGAGGAACATACAATTAAGCATCGACAAAAGGAATTTAAAAAAAAAAAAAAAGGTTAAATTAGGAATTTAAAGCCACATTTAGCAAAATTTGCTCTTTTATTTTCTTAAAAGGTTTTACCTACCCAATTATTCAGCAGCAGTTAAATTCCTCCAAACCCTCTACTAATCATATAAAAGCTATTCAGTAATAATAACAAAAAAAATGGAATGTTTCCTATCGGAGGTTCATGGTCATTTATTTAAAAGGTGTTGAAATTAAAAAGGCCCACTCAGAATAGCTTCATTCAGGTAATGTTTAATGACAAAATGTTTATCAATTTTTCCAATGTAGTGGGAAAAAAGAAAATTAAAGCAAATGCATCATTACAATAACTACTGTTAGACCATTGCAATCTGAGGGGGGGGGGTCTCTTTCCACACTTTCATTTTCCTATTCACATCAGGCCCTGCCATCAACAATAGTTTTTATTTTCACACTTTTTTCAAAATGATCCACGTCTCGACTCCCGCTCTGTGCGTTCACAATCTTTCTCCAACATCAGGAAAAAAACAAAAACAACCAGGAAAGAACAAACAATCCACTACTTCAAAATGCTGCACGTACAAACACAGGCAAAAAACAAGGCTGTCGCACAAAATAACAGTGCAGTATCTCTGCGGTTGAAATGGATGACGAGAGCAAAGTCGACACCCTAACGTGGTCACTGCTGGTCGATAACGAGCTTCTTGTAACAAGTTTAAAAAAGTAGATGGCACGCCCTGAGTGAACCTGCACGGTCACAACCTTAACGCATCAGGCAGCTGTTCACAAGAGGAAAAGTACAGTCAATTCAGTTTTTACAGACACTTTTCCAACTTTAGCTTCCAAGAAGGGTCGACGCATTCATGAAGTACTCACAATCAACTAAAGATTTTCTTTCTTCTTTTGTTTGTGTCATGAAAGCTTTTTTTGTCTGTTCTTTTCTCACTCAATGAGGCTTGACACTGAAATGTTTTTTTTTTTTTTTTTTTTTTTTTTTTTTTTTAATGATCCATTTGTGTCGTCTTCAAACAAACGGTCTTCTTGAGTTTCAGTGTCAAAAATATGACATTGCAGGTTCCATGTAGAGGCAACATGATGTTCGCCTTGACATCTGGAACTCATGTCGTCCTATATCTCAAAACTTGTACTGTTACTCTATTCTGCAACGAGGCATTTACTCCTGAATGAAAATATGTCTTTCACAGGGAGCTGGTGGAATAGAGGACAAATCCTCTGTTCCCTCGCCACAAACCAGATCTCTAGGAATTACTTAGTTCTGCATGGAATAAGTTTGCTGCTGCTGCTGCTGCAAAAAAAAAAAAAAAAGTCATACAAGAACTTCTAGAGAGATCTGGTGTTTGATGAGAACTTCTGAATAAAATATTATTTGAACCAGGTCTGGCTACAGAAGGTCCACTTGTACAAAACTGACCACAATCCAACCTCAGAGATACTGCGGTGAGGCTGATGTCTGATATCGAGCTATTCAAATCATGCTGTGTGAGTACACAACCTTACTGGACATGCTAGCCAAGTACCTGTGCTTAGACAATCCCTTCAGTCAGTTACAAGTTGCTGCACGTCTAAGGCGTCACTCGAGGAAGACAAACAAATGTAGAAATGATCACCAGGTACCTTCTGCCTGCCCAAACACAGACCGACACTGGAGTCAGTTCCCTTCATCAGCAGCGTGATGAAGTATTTCTACCTGTTTGGTTTTGAAATTTTGGCAAATATGATGGAGTGTTCGGATGCAGGGCTGGCTACCACTGGACAATAATTACAGCTTCTCTTGATATCTTCAAAGTAAAATTCCTTGTATAATTCTTCAATTCTTTCAAGTTCAATATTTAACTTCTAGTTTTTTATGAAATACCTTTTACTTTTGTAAATAAAATCAGTTAAACATCATGAAAACAAATGTCCGTACCTTTATGTCTCATATTTTCAAGCTTTTTGGCATCAAATCCTTTCTGATTACACAAAATCCACACTAAAAAGAAAATATCAGCACAGTCCCATGAAATATCCAGCCCGGTCTGGAGTAAAGGTAAGCGGGAATCGACCAGTCAAGACCAAAGTAGCGCTACAATATGTTGTAGACAGACCAGGAGGCTCACTGGAAGGACAACATGGACACAGACGTTTCTTGACCGTACAGCGCTGTTGACCCAACCACAAAATACTGTTAGTGTACACACGGAGAGGGACACACTGCCTGCCTGCGCAACAAACATCCACACCCTGGTTTCCAGTTATTGTCACTTTGCAAAAAAATTCATTCAGCTGCAGAATTGAATTGTTTTAATTTCTAGTTTCCATCACAGAAAAGGTGAAAGTGTCACATCTCTGTCTCTCTCTTCTGGCAAGCAGAGCCAGAGACTCTCAGAGACAGTGCAATTCATGAGCGCTTGGTGGTTTGGGATGGCCACTATGGTAACTCCTTCCATTACAACTCCTCAATAAGCCACCGCTGTTGTGAAATAAATTTAAAAGAAAAAAGGCAATACTACCTAAAGATGATGAACAAAATGGCTACTTTCAAAAAAGGCATGATCACATTTTCAGTTCGCATAGCTGACTCTGAATTTGGTCGAACCCTTTTGGGGTCGAGTGTTGGGCTACTTGTGTAGGTGGCACAATCTGTGGTCAGTTCTAAAACTGGACAGTCCCTCCCTTTTGTCAGACCATCAAAGGGCAATGGGACAGCGTGTGTAGTAGAAGAGTTTGGTTTAATGCTGCGACCCTCCCTGAAAACCCACCCATTATAAACATTTGAACACAGTCGCTGAGGAAAGGGAAACATGACCTTATTCATTCTTTGAAAAGCTTATACAAATGAGTGAAGGATATAAGGGGAAGGGGGGGGGGTATCCACAGACAGTCAGAGAATAGCCAATCAAGAAAAAAGGGTGGGGGAGGAGGGGGGGGGCAGATGCATTTCTCCTGAGAACATGTCATATCTCAGGGACGAGGAGGGGAAGCAGGGGCAGGCGGGGACAGAGGGAGGAGAGACGGGCGTTCGTTCTTCTCACGTCAGCAAAGCTTTCTCCAACAACTCATGGCCACTTCTCAGGCACTTTTCTTCCGTTTCAGCTTCAGAAAGAGCTGGCGGGTGGCGTGGTCAACCTCTTTCCGATATAGACTCTGAAAAGAAGGTACACAGACACAGAGCAGTTACAAATCACTGTCAAGCACTGCAGCATGGGAATTTGACTTATAACTCAAACATAGTGAAAAATGTGGTGATTTACCACAAAAGGCATGCAAGGCATTTCCTTGTCAACAGCGAAGAAAAAGAAAAAAAAAAAATGCTTAACCTCTTGCCAATACCCTGATCCGAGGTCAGGAATCATCTTTCAACTGGTGAACTTGCATTCATTTTTCTGTCTTTACCTTTCAATGGATTCGTTAAAAATAGCTGGATGTGAAGCCAGTGGTTTCCAAACTGGGGGACATTTTCCCCTGCATTGTTTTTGACTTGTCATACACAGGCGTCGGCAAAATTGGCAAAAGAAGGCTTGTGTTATAGGGCACTTCTACTCCATTACTCTTACGCAAATATTAGCTCTACAACAGCTAATTTTCCAGTTGGCTGCCATTAAACAACTGCAGAAGAAGAGGGCGCAACAAGATGATGTAATCAAAGAATGACCAGTTAAACCTCAGACAACCCTGTCTCACCCACATGAATACAGCCGTCATTAATGTTGCTGGTTACACCTGTGCTTTTCCTGCTTTGACACATCCAAACGTTCACCATGAGAAAGGTCTAAGAGTTGAATCCAATTCATTTAGAAAAAAATACAGAGAAACGAGAGTGCTTTGATGCTAACAAGCTACATACTGTATTCCAAGCCTATCTAATATCTATAAAAACTAAGTATTCTAAAATGTGTTGCGTTAACTACAGAATTTAACCAGTTGTCTTATATTACAGCATATTGCAGCTTGCCATGTATACAGTAACACAGATTAATACTAATTTGATACAATAGCAATTTTCTTTTTATATATACTTTCACTTTCTTAAGTGTTTTTTTTCCTTTGAATGTAAGTATACTGTATGACATTATGATTTTGAAACTCAACAGTAGTATGAGGGGATAATTATTGATATAGCTTTTGATACTTGGTACCAGCCAAACTAATATATAAGCCTATATATCAGTATCTATCTACACAGAAACTAAAATAACCCATAAACCCAGCACTATAGACCATCGGGTAACACTAAGAAAAAGGGAAACTCAAATTTGTATATAAAAGAATTATGATGAAATAAAAATTAACAACAGTGACTCATTATGTCACCATATAAACCTGTGAATGGCTGACAGGGACGCTGCTTTGATCTTGACAGGTTTGCTAATGACACTCTTTGCATATTGCATCGTGTCCAAGAAAAGACTGCTGTCTCAGATATCACTGCTGTGACATTATGTGACTGAGGAGCCAGGATTAATGTAAAATGTGTTATTACAAACATGGAGTGCCCCAGGGAGTGTCGGAGCTCACTATGAGAAAGCAGGTGTACAGCTTTTCAGTCAGCAGCTGCTCTGTCAGTTTGTCAGACCGACACACAGCTGATGTGTCTGCAGCTCTACAGCTCCCCCTGCTGGGGTTTGTGAACAACTAGGAAATATTAGTCAGAATAAAATGAAATTTATGTTTCATAAATGTTAAATAGACTGCACTTATATAGTGCTTTGTAGTGTAGTCTTTGACCTTCGACCTTAGATAAACTACAAGAAGTTGTCAACTTTTGGCTTCAGTTCACAGTTTTAGTGTTCTGTGTAAATACTGGTTTCACACTCTGACAAGAATACATTTCTGATCAAGTAAAACGGCAATCAGTTCATTAAACTCCTGTCAGTCTTGATGTAAACTCATTGTGTAGGTGATCTGCGGTGTTTCTTACCCCAGCCCCAGAGCGAGGATGTGTGATAGTAGCAGCGAGGGGATGAAGACTTTGAGGAACTCGGCGGAGAAGATGCCTCCTTTCTTCATGGCCCCAGTCTTCCTCATGCTGAGTGTTACTGAGCGTCGAGGGTGGCGGAAATGAAACTCCCTGCACAAATCACAGGCACTTTAGACACAGAGCAGTTGACTGACAGCCTGACAACCAAGGTAAACACACCCCCACCTCACTGTGGTTAAAAGCTTCTGCAATGAGAATATGCTTCCTTTCTCTGTTGTCTACGTTTATACATTGAAAACCTTTTGTGTTTTGGATGACAGCTTGTAATAATCGTAATGGACAAATAATTAACTGATTAATTAATGATGGCAATATTCATTAATTTTAACGCTACAGTCATTTTCAAAGCTTCCAGTAAGACACCAATTACAAGAGCTGAAATTAGCTATGAAGTCTCACTTTCTATTGGAAGAAAAAAGTATTGAAGTGGGGTTTCTAGAAAGATGCTGGGCGAACAGTTCCTCTCATTTCCTTACAGTCAGTCTTTTAATTGAGGTCATAATTTAGCAACCATAAGAGCAGCTACATATTTAGACACTTCAGTCATTGGTTATGGTGGCTGCTGCATGAGAAGAATGAAGGAGAGGAACTCCAGGCCTTAGGCCATATATGTCTGAGCCTTTAGCAGCACAGAGAGCTGATGATTACGTTGCTACAAACTGACACCCAAACACACAGATCTGACCCATGTTATTGCTACTAACCCTTGGTAGACTGGCTTGACAAAGCTGCGGGTTTTATGTAAACAGAGAGGCTGGGTGGGAAGCCCAAAAGTATGACATAATTTCACTATGTAACATTTGCCTATATGCCTAAAGAGCAATATTGAGCCATCAGTTTTTAGACACAAGTGATTTTTTTGTCAAGAAAGAAATAATGAAAGATAAAATGTAAATAACTTTCTCCAGATTTTTGTGACATAAAAGGCCAAACATTTGTAAAAGAACAAATCTTCAACTCTTCAAAGGTTACATTAGCATCAGCTTCAAAGACAATTTCTGCCAATTGGCTTTACATTTGTGCATTAGACCAACTTTATTACCATAATGACTAACCACTTTCACAGGACAAGCAGCTGTGTGTGTTCAGTTGCCATAGAAACATTATGCTGATGTTTACCGAGTTGAAACTTACTTGGGGGGAATGTTTTCTGGTCGACTAGACCAGTCAGCAACCCAGTCTGCGTCCTTCATTAGGATGTCCATGTCCCTCTCCTTGTCCAAGACATCCTCTTCTGACTGAAGAGAGACACACACACACACACACACACCCTCTCCACGACACACCCTTCTCTGTGTGTAGACACACACACACACACACACACACACACACACACACACACACACACACACACACACACACACACACACCTTTCAGGACACTTCTTGTACAGTATATTTGTGCATGTATGTGCCACCGACACAGAGACTCATTCTTAAATCAGTTTTTCACTACAGAAAAATACACAAAAAGATTTAAAAAAAAAACAAGATTTTTTCCGAGAGTGCACAGAGAGAGGTCAGAAATAAAAGAGTGAAAGTCATGGTGACAAGGCATGCTGTGTAAAAGAACCAATAATCCCCACTGGGTGCAACAGCCATCGCCATAGAAACTAAAGGCAGGCAGCATCTGTCATTCACATGTGCACACACACCACTTCAGGGCCAGTGGTTCAGGTTGCCATGGCAACAGACTGATGAGAACCTGAGAGGCGAACAAGCTCTTACTTGGCTGTCTCTTCTGCCGGTCACATCCACGTCGAAGATGATCTGTCCATCATCCTGGGGACTGTGGGGCCGTGGAGGGCTGCAGGTGAAGTCAACAACAATATGTCTCAACTCAAGACTTCCTTTATGTAAATTCTCATGAGGGAATTTATAGGTTTTATGATATGGAAAATATTTGTTGCTGATTGAATGACAGACGTACGATGCAATCAGGTGACTGAAAACCTCAAACGTAGTTCAGATCTAAAATTGAACAACCAGTCAGAATATTACGATATTAGAGAAAGAATATTAAACGAAAGGTAGCCATAGCAACAGTGCCATGGGTACAGGCTCTGTTCCCAGTTAAGCCATTAAGGTTTATCAGAGTACTGCAAAACCTTAAAAATATATAACCGAGGTGTAACTGACAGAGAAACACCTTTTCTCCTCCTCGTCTGACATTTTCATAACGTAATTAAGTTGAGTTTTCCATTTGATTTATTTATGAGTCCACATAATAAACTGAATTCAAGAGACAACAGGTTAAAGGAAGAACTCTTATTTTCCAATATAGTCCAAAGTTGATGGCCAAAAACACTTAACATAAAATTAAACTGTAAAATCTTTAATATCTTTACTTAATACTTCTGGCTACATTATTTATAGTCATTAATAGTCAGCACTAGTCTCTGTGGAACAGTCCTATCGAGATCAGACAGGCAGCATCATTAAACTATTCTTAAAATACTTTATCGGAATGTTTTTGTGTTTACAGACAATTTATATTTTTGTGCAACTTCATTTCATTACCCTCTGTTTTATGATCCCTTTGTTTTTCTTTTGTATGTAATGGCTGTTTTTTTAATTCACCTTTACTTTCTGTTTGTTTACTTTATTATTATTATTTACTTTATAACTTTGTTAAGAAAAGTACTATATAAATAAAGTTTATTTTTATTATTAGTGATCAATTAAACAATGACCATACAATTAATCAATGAATATAAATTCTCCGTCTCCACCATCTCACATCATTAAGCAGTTGGGTTTTTACTGGTTGTTTGACAAAAGAGTAAGTAAAGTCCAACTGCTCCTGCACTCTGACCTCTCTGATGAAATGTGTACTGAGGTGTGTGTTCCAGAGGGATAAGTAAAGAAAACATTTTCCTAAGTACTTCTGTGCCATATAACACTTGGATTGTTCTTAAATTGTTCAGACAGTGTCATGCTGGTTGTGTTGGTTGTGTTCATGCTTATTTCAGAGCATCTTGTTGATTCAGTGTTCTTGGCTCAAATGCTTGAAAACATCCTCAGGTGACTCACTGACAGCTGACTTCCCTGCTCTCTGATAAGCTCTGCTTTATCGCAGCCTCACTGATTACACGCAAACACATGATATGGCTGCGACCTCAAGGCTTTTTCTAACATGCTGAATAAAATGGGAGGCATGCTGTGACAGAAGACGTCATTTTATTTTCAGAAGCCAACTCAACTTCTGAGCAGCTGTCAAGTCAAAGCTGACTCAACATGGTGAGAGTGTAATTATGACACTCTTGGTCTATGAGGTCATTTCATTTTTCCACTGGAATAATGAGGAAAGTTGAGGATTTTGAGAAGCTATAACTCCAATATTTAACACCTCCTATAAAAATGTTTTTACATTACAGCTTCTCCAGTGATGTTTTATTGGATTATTAGCAGATGAACAGCCACCTGGGCATCCAAGAAGAGTTATCTCTCAGGAAAGCTACTCAACACTGCAGTTTTCTCTGCATTTGCATGATCATCTTTTTCATTGAGGTTATGGTAACTTCAGCAAGAAGATACTGTTTGTAGTTCAAATAGCCATAGAAAGGAAAGGGAACAAATGGGAGATGAAGCAAATGAGCTAATGATTACAGACGAGGTGTAAAAAAAAAAAAGAAATAAAAGTACAGTTTGCATTGGTATGCAACAGTACTTACATTTAAATTAAAATTTTAACTGGATTTTTGTTGGATTAAAAACAAAAAATAACATGCTGTACCTACAACACAGCACAAACAGTAGTTCAGAGATTAAGAGCTGGAAGGTCTAGTGAAAGTTGGCTTTATGACCACATGTGGTTCAGTCACAGCCTACAGACTTTTAACTACATAGATGTTTCCATTATATTGCTGCTAAGACATAACGTGAAAAATACATGTGATTATATGTAAATCCATTCCATTACTTTTCTACTATTACACCCTCGATGGAAAAAGAGGGGCAGGGTGTCAGGGTGTTAACAAATGGAGACACTAGATGCTAAGGCGGAGTTTCTTAACATCCCAGAGCTTTACATCAGATCCAGGGTTATAATTAAGTGATTTTGTTTTGGGGTCTAAAATCAACAGTGTTGTTGGGTCTTCTGAAACAGGCAGCTCCAAACTGAGTGAAAGTCAAGAGGAGACGAAAACCAACTTCACCACATGTTCTAATCTTCCACAGCTATAAACACAGGCATGTGTGAATCCAAGACCTCGTGACTTTCTCTGAAGTTTTCTCTTGTGGTGGAAAATCTCATGACCTCATCTGTACTTACATTAACATGACTAACTTTTTGTATGTGTTATTTATGCATTCACAATAACATGAGTTGCATTCAAATACTTTTCCCATTAACTTCAAGGAGGTCAGAGATCAGGTTCAGATATGTAACCTAACCCCCTGGAGGAACTGGGGGCTCGCATCTTCTCAGGGTCCCTTCAGCGGGGCAAATTAGGGTCAGTTTTGAAGAAGTGAGTCGAAATACTTTCAAAGGATTTTTAACATTACCTGTCGCAGGAGGAGTTGCTGCGGCTCGACTCGTGCTGGGCATCCAACAGGATCTTCTCCATGTCTCCGTTGTGGATTGAGGATGAGGACGGGACGTGCTCCAGCCCCCCTACCATGGCCTCCTCTTCCTCCACCTGAGGGAGGGGCAGCAGGCCCGGGGCCGGGCCGCCTGTGGAGGGTGACTGGGCCGAGCCAGCTGCACCTCTGTTCATCTCCAACTCCACCCAGGACCCTGTGGAGAGAAAGGGTTTAATTATTTTCAAACGCAGACATTTAAAAAAAAAAAAAAAAAAAAAGATCAGTTTAAAACATTTTTCCTGCTCCAAGAAAAACTGACCACCATTACACAACATCCCCTTGCAACAAGTGGATGGGAAACTGGGGCAAAATTCAGAAGGTTACGAATATGTACCAGAAAACTGAGTAAGAATATATATATTTTAAATAAAAAGAAAAAAAAGGAATTACTACTACAAATGAGTTTCAATTCCAAATGACATTTAAATCCTATTTTCACCTGGATTTTGTACAACTGTTTTGTCCACTTGGTTTATAAACCAAAATTAAGCTATTATACTGTATTGTATTAAAGATGAAACTTTGAAAATGAATGAAAATATTTTCAAAGAAAATATTTGGCATGGCAGTCAACTTCATTACAAAGTGATGTTTCAACTGAGTGGACTGTTAATGTTGTAATATGTGTACATTAAAAGAGTTTCTCAGTTTAAACATGTCTGGATACAAATGTCAGGATTGCCTGATAAGACAGAGCCAGTGGAAAGTAATGGCAATAAACCATTAGGCCAATATCCTGTTCAGAGCAATAAGCCAATATCCTGTTTAGATCAAGATCTGATATGTCTCAAGGAGCAGGCTCTTTGCTTACATTACCACTAAAATTATTAGTGTGAAAATGAGGTGTCATTTAACTGTTTTTTTTTTTTTTTTTGGTGTGTATTAACACCATTTTGGTAACATTCCCAGAATAATAACCTGCCTGAGAAGCACACTGCTCACCTCATCTTAAGTTCTGTTTAAAACCACTGATGTTCATTTTTCACTGTTCATATGTTTGATCCTATCAGGAGCTTTCACAAATAATTTCACTTTGAGCTGGCACTGAGTTCCCAATAGACATTTTTACTGCAGACATTTTGACTTGTCATAGCAGAACAAGCAAAGGTGGAACTAATAATACCATAATTGATCATAAGAGTGGGCATGAAACTAAAGACACACCTACCCTACCATCATTATATTGATTACACCTGTGCTTCTGATGGTTTAGCGTGTTAAGATATCTGCTGTGAAAAAAGCCCTACTGTCTTTTTGTTGAAGAATAAGAATTACAATTTTTGTCTGTAGTGACACTATTAGTCTTATTTTCTTTAGTTCCAGAATGCTAGATTTCTGACACTGTCTGAACTACTAATGAGAGCAAAGAAAGCTATAGTTTGATCCTGGAAAGACCTTTTTCACAGCAGACATTTGACAAGCACAGGTGTAACGGATAAGATTAATGATGGCTCTTTTCAGTTGTTAGTGTCCTGGTGAGCTAGTGCACACAATAAAGAGGCCCAGGAACTGTCACACCTAAATGGATTTACAACCATCATTGATATTAATTGTGCCTATGCTTTTCCTGCTATGACATGTCAAAACATCTACCTCTTGTCAAGCAGAAGACAAATAGGGGGGATGCAAAAGAGAAGGGTGATGTCAAAATGATTTTCTGATCGCACTGATCACACAACAAGATGGAGAGCTTGAGACTGTCAGTCAAAGAAGTTCAAGAGTAAAGGTCTATTTACTGCTGTGTGATGAAAGGGCAGTAGAAATGCCTGCCTGTGTATGTGCTGTGGGTTCTTGCAGACCTTGACTGTGATATATGATGCTCTCCCTGTTTGTACGTGAGCTCTGGCATGGACTGGCAGCTGAGGAGGCACAGCATGCCAAAGCTGGGTTACAAATACAGAGGAGGGGCTGGTTATCCAGGGCAAGAATTTGGAGAAAGGGGGAAAAAAATTCTAATATATGTCATTATGCAGCTTTAAAAACACTTTCTCCTTCTGTCTTCAACAAAATAAAAAGAGGAATGCCTCCTGAGCAGGTCACATGACCCCATAACAGTAAGTAAACACCATGTTCGCATGAGCATTCAGGGGACTGTATTTCACAGGCATCAGGCCAGCTATACCCACTACCCAAGCGGTGCCCGCCCCCACCCCAAAACAGGCCTCGACTCAGCACTCACACTCATCCCGCGGATTACATGGCGGACCGCGAGCCAAGCTGCTGTCGACAGCCCATTGTCTCTGCCCCGTGGACTAAAACCACGTTGCCATGGAGCCGACGCTTCCGAACATTCTGGCCACAGAACCGTTATCAGCTGCCGGGTGGTTTAGAGGAGGCAGACATGATGTGACCTCTTTGATCCACTGATGCTGAGGCTCAGACGGGAGGGAGGAGGGCTGAGGCTGCCTCTCGCCTGAAGATCCAGGTATTAGATAAAAATGTTTATGACACTGGTGTTAGAGTTCAGGGAAACGCTAAAAATAACACACTCTCAGATAATAGCACACTGCTGGCCTCTCCATCTGATAAGTGCAAGGTCTTATTGTCCCTAAAGCTATGTCACAGCATGTACCATTACAGTGTATACATGTCCTGCTGCACCAATGCCACCAAAAAAGTCTGCTGTGGATTTTATAGTTCGTAAGTTATTTTGGCTCAGTCAGATGTAATACCAACTGCTAAGTTTTTCAAAAATGGTATTGGGTTAATGTTGCAGCAAGGGATTATGGGGCCCCTGACAAATTAAAATCGCTAATACTTCTGCAGTATTTACAGGCCTTCTCCAACCAGGTTTTTCAAGATATAACAGATTAGACTAGCGTTTCTAAACGGGGGAGATACAGCTCCACATGGGGCCTTTGGAGAACATTGGGGGCTGCTGGAAACAAAATTTTTTAAAGGGAGTTGAGGTGTTCTTCAGGGATGTTTGTTTAAGGTGAGTTTACACCAAATCTTCACAATGAGACAAGCTGAAACCTGCAACTATTTGCAGAAGAATGTGATCTGCAACACTGAAATATACCAGTTTACACCAATGCAACTAGACAACGTTAATTGTGTCGTTTCCATAGCAACGACTCTTTACTTCAGAGATACGAGTATCATCTATAAAAATTTCACCAATAAGGCGTTTACTATGTCAACTCAGGAAAACCAGTGGTCTTTTCCTTGGTATTCCCTGTGGAGAAAATTAAGAGTTTCTTCCTCTTTAAAATATTTGTACCTCTGGAGAACACATCGTCAACGCTGTGTTATTGCTGTGGTTACAAATTTACAAGAGCGACACCACACACAATTCAATTGCCAAAAAGTTACATGCTGCATAATATGTGGCATATCTGTGTGTTTTTCAACATATCAGTATAAGTATAATGACACAGAACAAGAAAATTGTTGCCAGTATTGTATCTAATATCTTAGCTATGGATTCACACCTTCTCCCACTAATGCACAACTTCCAGTGTGTTTATTGTGTGAACGAGTGTTTTGAGGCCATGACAGTCTATTTTGTTCCCGGGAAACTAATGATAATGATATTCCAACTTAAATAAAATCTGTTATTTGGCATACAATGATATGTTTTTTCATGATACAAAACAAAATAATAGTCATAATAATGAATAGAATATATTAATAAATACACTGTATAACATAAATAATAAGGAGGATAAGAATAAGGATAAGAATAATACACAGAATAATAATCAACATTAATATTCAGCTAAGACAATTAGCCTACTTTTTTTTTTTTTTGATGGGGGGGCAGTAAGGGTCCTGGATAATGGATAAGAGGCGCTGGCCCAAAAAAGGTTGAGAACCACTGGGTTAGACTGCTCTAAAATACACAACAGGACTGCCAGACTTGAGCAGAATAAAAGCAACACTTGTTGCTTTTCATTTCATACAACAGGGGGGAGATACAACTAAACATGCTGCTGAATGCACAAATGACAAACCAGGGTAGAACATTATCACTAAGCACCAGCCAAATGCTGACAACTTGCTTCATTTTTAAAGAGATGACTATCCACTGCTGGCTACCCAATCACATGAAAAATTCTGTCTGTTAAATAAGAAAAGGGGCTGGAAAGTTTGATTCCTGTCCAGATTGTGGCTTTCAATCCACCAGCCTACATGTTCCTTCTCTGCCGTGTGCTTTAACACTTTCCCCACCCTCCGCACGTCCAAAACGTCTGTCTCCTTGTCACTGTGGCCATAAATAGCATGCCAAGTCATGCCCCCCCCCATAGTGTGGTAAAAGTTAAACCACAACAGCTTTCTGAGGCCCCTGAGTCAGTGTAATAAACATGCCTTTGTTTACGTCTCTATGGCCTATGAAAGCCGAGGTCTTGTGTGTATTCTATACCACTTACATAACTGAGGGTCCATGCCGTATATTTCTACACAGATGGACTTCTGCTGTGAAAAGACTGTGTAAAATTATATTCGTCAAATGCTAATTGAACTAGTAATCTATTTAGAAATAAACCGTAATTACTTTGAAATTGATTATTTTAACATAAGTGTTGGTACTCCTATATGGACTGAACCCCAAAAATAAAATACATAAAAGCCTGAATGCAGACATAACGTTGAGATATCTACGCTGGCCTCTGTTGTTTACAAGAATTTCACTAAGTGTACAGTACAGTAACTACGTGTAAATTGTCAACATCTCTCTGTCCCCATATTTGTCGATTCTGACGACTTCTACCATCTCGCCTTGTTGACGGCCCTTAAACCCTCCTCCACCCCTTCGCGTGAATCGCTGATTGGCTTACTTGCCTGTCAGTCAAGCCTGTCGAAACGCCATTGGTGCGCCCACTGTCAATAAACACACGGAACATAGCGTTCTCACTCCTCCCCTTTCGATGTAGCTTCGGCGAGAAAAAAAAACATTTACAAGCAAATTAAACTACCTTTAACGATTAAAAGCTACCAATAAACGTATTCTAAACATACAGCGGCGTACCCCGACACATGACCCAGCGAGAAAATACACTGACAGGCTGGTCTAGTTCAGCAATTTGAAAATGTTTAGCTTACCATTTAGCCCAGAGTCTCCGTTGTTGTCTGTAGAAGTACTGTTAGCAGCGTTGGACATCTTCGTGCCTGGTGAGCAGGGCGGGTTGCATAAAAGGCTCAAGTCAGTGCAAAACGCGCACCAACTTATCTGCACACATTCAGACGTGCGATAGTACAACTGACCCGCGTCGCCTGGTACCCCGTTTCTTCAGTGACCGGCTAGCTAAAGCAAGCTAAAGCACTGCCGTTTGTTTTCGTCCGTTAGCTGGTCTGAAGGCAGCAGCCGCGAGCCGCTCAGACCTTCCCGGAGCTGGGTGATGACGTCAGACCGTCCGGTTGATAACAAAGAGAGGGAGTCGAATTACATAACGAGCTGGAAAAACAAAACAAAAACATCCGCCGACATGCATGTACCAGCAGCACCAATTAATAACGGATAGTGGAAATTCGATGAATATGGCATCAAATTTATTACTACTAGCTCAATCCGCCCATGCCGGAGGAGGCGTGCGTGCACACACGTACATATGAACACGCCAGTGGAGACATGAGGCAGGTGTGTGCCTACTGTCCAAGCCTAGTTTTCAGCAAGCAGACACCCAATCAGCTGATTTCAATTAACCTTAAGTGGTTCATCAAGTACCAGAGAGCGGCTAGTTTTCATTTTGTCAATTGGTCAGACCAGTTATAGAACCACAGCTGGATTTACACCTGAAATACCGGGTGCAGATTTTTTTTTTTTTTTTTTAAACTAGCAGGGATTTGAATGGAGGATCACTGCAGCTACAGCCTCAACACACGTGCTTCTCAATCTGAAGGTGTCCAAATCACTGATATCTGCTGCTGTGTAACCATTGATCTGGTATCTTATGATTGATTCAGCAACTAGTACAAACGCAACATGGATAACATTGCAAATGAGAGCTTAATACTGAAATCTCAGCAACGATCAGGCAATCACAAGAATGCAAAAAGTAGTTCCTTTATTATCTTCACTGTCATAGATTAAAATTGTAGTTATACATTACTGGAGGCATCAATATAGTCTGAACTGTCCACATTTTAAATACGGTGTGGAGACATCAATTGCTGCGAATCCTTGTGCAGCTTATTGTACCATCACATACAGTAGCAGTAATAATGTCTGCGGTAGTTAAAACAAACATTTTAAGTGACTTAATGCCTCAAATAATGTTTTCTTTTAAACTGTAGTCTTACAACACAGACATCCAAGTACTTTAGTTGGTGCAGTAAGAGAGTCCAGTGTCAAATCAAAAGTTTTCCCTGTTATGAAGTACTGCTTCAGAGCTGTGGTACACCATGGGAAGACAATACTTAAAAATCACTCAAAAAGATGTGAGGTCCAGCTTCATTTCACAAAATAGGACGGAACAAATCTGGTGACGTTTTAACTTTTTTAATATAAATATGACAATCATAATTATCTTTGAATAGGCTATCTCTTATACCTGACTATTGTTGAATAGAAAACAAAAAGAAGAGGAACCAATGCACAAAGATGTCAAGACAGAGCCAATCCAAAAGGGAAAAAAAAAAAAAAACTCTTCTGGAGACTAGGCCAGCCAGAGTCTAAAGCACAGTGAGTGAGCGGGATGACGTCTCACTGGACTGGGCTTTGAATCTGTGAAAACACACAGTACTTCTCAAACTCCTGGAGGTAACCGCTGAGGTGTTGCTGTCCAGTTTGAGCAGCAAGTGTGTAAAGAAACTGAGCATACTTTTGTGACTGTTGAGTATGCATGGTTTAATGAAAGAGGAGACACGTGAAGAGAATCAAAGAATACTATGACAGTATAACGGATGAATTAATAAAATGTGTTTACACAAAAAAAAAAGAAAAAAAGACTGGCAAATTTCTTAGAAAAATAAACACTACAATGGCACAGGACAATTAAGGGGACATACTAAATAAGTGTTTTTTTATTTTCTACCACAGAGCCATTGGGGGCAAAAGTTATAAAAATAAGTGTGTCTGTATTCAGAATTTTAAGTAAATTAAACTGGTTTACCCATGTTACCCCAGGGGAAGAAAAGGGCAGGTGGGCTGGCAAAAAAAAAAAAAAAAAAAAAAAAAAAAAAAACATACCAAAGGAAAAAAAATTGGCACAACATCACTTAAACAACAAGGCAGGTGTCACTCTGCCACAAACAGGCTGATGATGGGCAAGAGCGAGGCTTCCTCTGTCCACATCTAGAACAAAGTGGCAAAGTCTGGTCACCAAGTAGCAACGGACAGGGATGCTGGTTATCGGTGTTACCACAGATCACTCTGGATGAGGCGGTGAGGCTGCAGGTTGTACACATCACCCACGCCAGATCTCATATAAGCTCATCCCCATAGTTAGTTCACCTTATCCTGGAATATGTAGAGGTTGTTGGTCGTTGCCACTGCGATGATGTTGTCCTGGGGATGCCAGGCAGTGTGAAGGATCTTCTTGTTGAAGTCCAAACTGTCCACGCTGATTTCATCCTTTTTGCGCTTGCCACCTGCACACACCTTGCGGGGTTTGAGAACCTGCATGGGCTTGCTGTTTTCTCGGGACGCCTCCAAGGTTACATCCCGCCTGTGGCCACGGTCAAACATCCGGAAGAAGTTGTTGTATGAGCCAGTCATCACCACGCTGATAGGGGCATATGGAAAGTTTGAGAGTCTTAACACAGCTGTTTTAGGATAATGTCCCTAACAAAAACATTTGTGTTTTCAGTAGTAGGCTTAAACTGAACTTATCATTGGTATACAGGTGATGGACAAATAATTTGATAATAATGAAAATAATAAATTCGTTATTATATTAAAATTTATTAAAAATAAATATTACATATTAATCAAAATGACAAAACACTTCAACACAGGTGGATAATATTCGAGTACCAAAGGATGAATTTCTAAGCAATATAAGTGCAATCAGCAATCCAAATCTCACAATGTTACACAGTACAAGACTAATAGAGATTCAGAGTTAAAGCATCTTTATCCTGATTTGCAAACAAAAGGGCTAAATTTAATACAAGGGCATCAGTCCAAACACATAGGCACATAACCACCGGCATGTCCTCACCTGTCATTGCCATTCCAGCAGCATTCAAACTTGTCAAAGATGCAGTCATTCTCATAGAGCGAGCACAGCTTGCTCCTCAGGTACTCATGAACCTGTAATGATCAGAGGCAAAGACTCACATAAAATCAAATTCAATTATGTAGATGGATAATGTGTAAGTTTATTAGATAATCTATACGTTTATCATAAAAGGAACATATGGAACTTATTTCTATACAAAAGCCAGTGCACAGCAAAACTACACATTTAGGGTACCTCCTAGTGGCCACTATGTGAAGTTACAATGAATTATTTAAAAAAAAAAAAAAAAAAAAATTTAAAGTTAGAAAAGCTGTGGCCTCTCTGTTAAGACAAAAAAATATATCAGTAGTATTACAGACAGACATTAGTATTTACATTGATGTAATTTTTGGTGCAACTCTAACAAAACAAATTATCTGACTCTGAACAATGCTAACTTTATTCAGAAACTGGTTCAAACAAGGTAACATACTTTCCCCCAAATGTAAATGTTTAGCCTTGAAACCAAATTAATCTAGAGAAACAAAACTTTGTTTAGGTTCAATTTAAGTGGTGTAATCCCCTGTGGGGCACTAAAATGACGGGAAATGACCAGTATCATTCAGGGTGTTGGACTGTATCTGCTGCTCTACACTTTATGGGGTCTGTAACAATGGGGCCATCACATGTTAATTCAGAGTTCATGATAGGTCACTCATAATCTGTTTACAAGTGTGTTGCAAACTTGACAACACATATTGTAACTGTGCATCTGTTTGTCAGTCTCACCTGGTAGGTCTCCACTGGCCTATTCTCCATGTTCAGGTCCCAGATCTTCACAGACAAGTAGTCTCTAGTCATCATGTAGCGTCCATTGTGGCTAAACTTAACATCTGAGATTGAGGATATGATCTCAGAGAAGAAGGAGCGATTACTGGGATCTTCTGGCTCCTCAAACACTTGTCAAAAAAAGGAGGATGATACAAAGATAAGTAAAATGACAAAGTCAAACTGCTGTATTCTCAAATGCTCCAGTCTGAGAAAGCGTAGTTCAAGGGGCTTAGCATATTCAATCTAGTGTAAAATCCACCTGTCGAAGTAGAGATAAGGTGATGTTAAGTGAACAAAGTGGGTACTCACATTTGGAGTGCTTGTCACATAGTGCTGAAGCCCTCATGTCACACAGACGGATGGTTCCTTTGCTGCTGCTGTAGACAAAGGTGTTACACTGATGAGGATGGAACTCTGCTGCTGTGATCACCTCTGTTAGCTCCTCCATGTTGGCTGGTTTAATGTCAACAATATCTGAAAAGCACAGGGTTAAGAGGAATACCACTTTCAAGAGATTAGGACCACAACACCTGGTAAACATGATAGGGTGTACAGTGTATTTTTTCAGCACCAGAAGTTGTGCCCTGAACAAGGCATTTGCATAGGGGAAAAAAACATATAAAAGCATCTGACTATAATGTACCAGTCCAAAAGAGAGTCCTGTAGAGAAAAGCAGTAGGGATGACAGTTAGTTAGCTAGACAAAAGATACTTCTTTGTCTTGTGTGACAGTATTATGCTACCCCATGGATTAATTTATATTGCTTAACACTGAGTTTCATGGTTTAGGCAGGTACATAGACAAACACGCCCAAGTGCATTTGAGGATACTGAAGCTGCGGTCAGTGATCTCGAGGTGCCAGAGGTTGATGCGGAGGTCATCTGCAGACAGGTAAGTCTCATTGTCACTGTTGACTGAGATAGAGTTGATATGGTAGGTGTGGGCATTGGCAAACACCCTCCGTGGACTGGCTTCCACCATGAGGTCCATGGGTATTAACACTGGTACCTGAGGTAAGAACAAACAGGACATAATTTGAAACTGATGGCAAACAATGTTGAATTTTGACACTCTGAAATAGATTTAATAACCAGAGCATGCAACCAGTGTGTAACACAGTATTTTATGTATTCAATTAGCAGGGTAAAATAGTCTATACAGGATGCATGTCAGCTGCTTCAGGCGAGTCTGAAACAAATTTGAGGAGTACTCACATTAGCTCAAAGAGCAAGTGTATTGGCACAGATTGGGAGTTGCAGTTCTCTTTGTTAGCAACAGAAAATGTAGCCAAACTGGTAGCCCTTCCTGACTGCTAACACACCCATGTTTAATACTTTTAAATCCAAGGTTGTCTGTCGTAAGATTTGGAATAAATGGTATTTAGCCATGAAAATTTAA